CCAGCAAATTCGGTTAATGCACAAAGGCAGCTCGGAGCGCCCGCGGATTGTCAGCTGTGCCTCGACAGGGGGCCCTGAAAATGAAAGGGTGGGTGACTCCTGTAATTGAAGCCCCCCCCCCCCCCCCCCCCCCACGGCTGTTTGTGCTTTTCTATTTTAAGGGGTTAGGAAGGGGAAAAAATTTAAACAAGCAGTTAATAAATAAATAGCCCTTAATATGCCTGTCGATGCAGGATCACATTCAGCAGCTACTGACCTGGGTCTCCGGTCCCCCTCTGCGGGATAAAAAAAAACGCAAATATCATTTACTCAATCCACAATTGCAGTTAATGAATTGCCCTTCATTCATCAAGCAGCTAATTCCCTGTTCTTCACATGCAGCTGATTCATACCCTCAGGACTGCAGCCTAATAGAAGCACATTACAAATCATTAAAGGATATGTTTGTTTGGTAACACAGATACATACAGTGGCCTGGAGTTACATGCACCACAAGACAGAGAAGAAGAAATTAATAACGTTGCCTTCAGTACACATGTCCTGAAAGTCTTCTGACAAAACTTCAATAAATATATTATCCCTTTGTGATAAAGTGAATAGGTGCATTAAGTGCAAATTGCATTATTAATCCTCACTGAAAACTGTAAAACTTTTAAAGGGAGTCAGAAAGCAACAACGTCATTGGCTCAAATTTCCTTTAAACAAATCGCTTGGTGTTATTCGTTACTAAGGACCCGAGTTACGCCCCCCTTCTCCCCCAATCAGGGCTGCCCGATTAGCATTAAATGAAGTATATTTGTTAAGTTATTGAGAAGTGGCGTGTTTCTTACCTGTAATGTATCGGATCCGAAATCTGAAATAGGTTGAATAACAGGCATGGGTCAGTAGAGCAGAGGTACAGCAGACAGAGAAGAGCGCGTCTGGCAGGAGCAGAGCCGCCGCGCCTGTGTCGTCCTGCCCTCCCCGGGACGGACCTGCTCAGTGCCTCTCCGCCTCCCCATTGGCATCCGTGGAGGGCCTGCCTCACTGCTGGCACCGTGCCCAGCAGCCAAGCTCACACAGCTACGGCGGCATGTGGCGGCCGACGGCTCCCCGTGGAGAGAGAGCGTGTGAGGCTCGCGCCGGCGGTGGGGCGGACCGCAGCGATATACGAGCATAGGCGCTCTGAGCGACGAAAGACACGCACACAGAAATAGGACACCGCTGGCTCCATAACGCCATAAACACCAACGTTTTATTTATTTAGCAGATGCTTTTTAGCAAAGTGATAAACATTTTTGAGGAAGCGAGGTTAAGGGCCTTGCTCAAGGGCCCAACAGGGATATCGCTTGGCCAATCCTGGGATTTGAACCAGCGACCTTCTGATCTTAAGCACAGTATCGTACGCTCCGCACAGCCACACACCTCCTCCCACACAGCACGTGTCTATTTATATATTATGTTATTTATATAGCCAGAGGTGCTATAGCTTCACACCTCCACGGCTGTGGGTTCAAATCCTGTCCTTGGCTCTGTTTGAGTCAACATGCTCTCCCCGATACCTTCCCAAAATCCACTCTTCCCTCCTGCCAACTCAAGAGACACGCATTACGTGTCCTGCATGTAATTTATGTTTAATCACTAATATTAGTGTCATGCAAGTAATTAATATCCATCCATCCAATTTCCAACCCGCTTATCCTACTGGGTCGTGGGGGGGGGTCCGGAGCCTATCCCGGAAGCAATGGGCACGAGGCAGGGAACAACCCTGGACGGGGGGCCAGCCCATCGCAGGGCACACTCACACACCATTCACTCACACATGCACACCTATGGGCAATTTAGTAACTCCAATTAGCCTCAGCATGTTTTTGGACTGTGGGGGGGAAACTGTAGTACCCAGAGGAAACCCCACGACGACATGGGGAGAACATGCAAACTCCACACACATGTAACCCAGGCGGAGACTTGAACCCAGGTCCCAGAGGTGAGAAGCAACAGTGCTAACCACTGCACCACCATATTATATAATATTTACTGCATAATATTAGCTGTTTAAAATAACCTCTCCCCCCTCACCCTGGGCATCTCGCCCCCACCCCACATGTGCTCGCCAGCTACTGACTGCCTGCAGCTAAGCTCACAGTGATCTCCGAGTGCCACGAGATCCACGGCAGGGCAGTGATGACAGCTGAGGCCCAGACGCTCCTCTGCTTACCTTGGCCCCTCTTTCCACAGCCGGCCAGCCTCCCCAGGCACTCTTTGTGGGCCCCTGCCCCACATTTGCCACACAGGTATCCCTGGTTGAAGATCCCCCTGGAGAGGAAACCCACAATAGACATGGAGGTCATGTGATTCTGACTTCCACACTTCAGCTGCCCCCCCCATCGCCCGTCGCTTACTGAAGGTCCTATGGTGAGAGTATTTTCTACGCTTTTTTTCACCAACCTAATTAAATAGCCTACAGGCTTCTCCCAAGTGCTGAAGCACATTTGTTTTTTCTGAGAAGCTACCAGGCAAAAACATTTAGAAGGCATTGACACCCACCTGAGCAGCATCCGACAGGAGCTGCAGGATGTGGCTCTCTCAAAAGTGTGCATCCGGAAATCGTGCGAGTTACTGGTGGCGTCCTCTGGCCGGATGTTGGACCTGGAGATGGACGGTCGACAGGGAGGCAGCTTAGAAGACTCCTTCTCCTTGGCCAGTATGCAAACACTAACGCTAGCCAGCCCTACGCAAAGCCAAACAAACAGGCTCTCCTGCGTCAGACGCCGATCCACGTCGAGGGGAACGTTCCGTCGCGATCGTCACGTTCCTGAGCAGGATGGGAAGGCGAGAGACGGCAGGAAGGGAACGGAGAAAACAGCAGGCGTTCACGGCTCCTCCGCAACACCCCGCGGGACCCCGAATCAAAACAGAGCCATCTGTAGATCACCGAATCCTTGCTCACATCCCCAGTCTTTGTCTGTCTTTATTTTCGATCTTCTCAGTGAGTCCAAACACCAAAATTTGGGACATCAAGCAATGACTGAAATTTCTAAAGTTTCTCCAAACTAATATACTCAGCAAACTTGCAAAGCAACTGCCTGCCTGTTTAATTGCTTTATTGCTAAATAATTATTATTTAACATCAGAAAGTGCCTTACTAAACTGCAGCCCTCCTCAAGTAACTGCAATAAATAAATGAATGCAGGGATTTACCCAGGGAAGACGTCTGCTCTCTGCACCTTTAACCACAGCAAAGCAAGAACCCAGCCCAGCGCAAATGGAGCAGGTACTGATGTGGGCAGCCCCCGCCTGGGGGTCAGACCTGAAAAACGGGACCGGGGAGGGGAGGTGCTACTTACATGGCCATGCCGAACTGCTCCAGCCACTTCTTCTTCATCTCCTTGGTTTTGAAGAAGAACTCAAAGCCAGTCTGGCCCTGGTTGTGCGTGAGGTAGAAGCCATATGACCACTGCGGTGTGAGCAGAGAGAGTTAGGGTTAGATAGGTGCGGAGGGTCGCCTCACATGGCCGGCTTTCGGTGTTGAGCAGGCCATCGGAAAACCTCTAACACCAAATAACTCAAGTTATTTCTGAGATGAAACCTAAGTGACCCAAAGTCAGGCTTCCTCATCATACATTACAGTACTGAGAGTCAAAACTCACTCAGTACTTGTGATCCAATGAAGAATTTCCCTTATAGAACTTCCCTAAGTTAGTTCTGGAAATTTGCTGTTCAAGTTCAGTTTAGCTATCTTTTTATCCATTTTAAGATATTAAATCTGGTTTTTCTCCTGAAGAGAAGTCTGAGTAGACTAACAGAAATAATATTCAGGGGTTGTAAGTGGCAGCGCGTCACTGTTTCCTCAGCAAGATCTTCATAAAACCAACAGCAGAATATCCTCAAAAAGCTGTTTGAGTTACTTTTGAGATTCTTTCACTTTAAGATTCTGAGAGAGGGAGGCAAACTTAAGCACATTTTTGGGGAAAAAAACATAAGAGCTGCTTATCTGCAAATCTAACAGTAGGGCCTTTAATGCGACAGAAACCTGTAGTTTCTTGGTCACCAGTCCAACTTCTTAAATCCAGTCTCTTGAACGGTTTCCCAGTCTTTCACTAATTCAGCCCCTAATGCTGGGACGTGTTCAGACTCACCAACGGGAAAGCTGAGGGAATATGATCCTAATCTCGTCTCCACACGCCACCGGGGCAGAGCAAGTGCGTGAGGACACCTCTTAACGCATGATTTTGGAGGGATTTCCGTTTACTGCAGTAGACCTCACTAATGAGACAGTTTATGTTTAGGTCTAGGCACTTCTTCCAGGCTCGGCGACCACCCACCGTCTCTGAATGTCGGGAAAGGCAGACGGGAAAGCGGTTGGATCTCAGAAAATCTGAGACGTGATAGTAGGGATGGGGTCGGGGAGGCGGCGGCGGGCAGGACTTCAAATAGACGGTGCGATTAGCCAAGGTCTCCTTCACAGAGCAGTGTCGCTCAAAAACACCTTTGCGGCAAGGGTTCCAGCACTGGAACGCCGGAAAGAAACTCATTTCCTCTACGGAACAGCGGTCTATCAAGGATCCGCGTTGGCCAGCATGGAAAAAGGGTGCAGAGTTCTTTAGAAAACCTGCTATTTCAAATTTGGCCTCGAACTGAGGAAACTCTAACTGAGGCATGTAGAAGGAAAAAAAAATTCCTGTAACTTTTGGTAAAGGCCATTAAGCTACCATGCTAAACGTCTAAACATGTGGATTATGTAACTAAGGCCCAATCCCAATACCCCCCCTTAGCCCTACCCCTTAGTCCTACCCCTCCGTTTTGCGCATACCCGCGTAGGGTAGTGTTGTCCCATTTCTTTTTAGCAGCGAGGGGTAGTGGTGTTCAGCCCTCGAGATAGCCCTCGAAAACGTAGATTTTTCAGATGCTGACTCAAAACCGAGTGAAAGAAGAAAATTCCCACAATGCATTGCAATACACAACAAGAAAAGAAAAGATGGTTAGCGGTGTGGGGAAAGAAGCTCATATCTTTATAAATACGCTTGCAAAAAAATCTAATTTTAGCGGAATATCTTAGTTTAATGTAAGTGAAACGGAATATGAGGTTGTATTTTTCAAAAACAGTTTTCTGGAAATCGCTAATTCCGTGCGTAGAGACAGAGCAGTATCTCTGTAGTATTAATAGAAAATGAACCGAGCAAGGGTGAGTTTCACAAAACCGTCGAAGAATTAAGAACATACTTATTCAGAGAGAGAGCATTCAAAGTCCTTTTCATGTAGTTTTTTTGGCTACGACACTTTTGGGAAATTCACCCCCGATTGTTTTCTGTGTTTCGTGCAATAGTCTTCTAAGTGCATTATTCTACATCGTGGAATATGTAAAACACATTGTTCCTGACATATTGTTTATGCAACATAAACACATTGTTTATGCAAAACGTGTGCATGTTTTATAGAAATATTGCATGCAATATGCTTCATTTTGTATCTGCGTGCCATTGTCAAAGGAATGCTAATCCACAAATCGACAGTGTCATAATCATTCTGTAATATTCTAGGGACACGTCAGTGGTATAATCATGTTGTAATGTTAAAGTGACTTGTCTGTGTTATAAGCATGTTGTACTATTCCAGGGACTCCCGAGCAAACCAGGCAGCTCATAAGCGAGTGGTGTCCCAATTCCTAGGTAAAGATTTCAAGCCCTACCCCTTGTGGCTGCGATCTGTGAAGTCAACTTCAGAAGGGAGAGCCCTCAAAATCTAGTGGTAGGGATAAGGGAGGAGAAATGGGACTGGGCCTTAATCTTCACTGCAGGGTCTCAGAATTTTATTTTTTTGTTTGTTTACGCTGAACTTTGTGGCAGCTATCAAAATAAAATGAGCAATTTTTGTCATAGGGGTTTTTGTGATATTTATGAATTGTACACTAAGCATGTAGAACACATGCACACATATATACATGCCATTTAAATTTATGTTTTGCATAAGTTTTATTATTATATGCTATTGTTTATGGATGTGAATGCAATATCTATGTCAATATAAAAAGCTGATGCGTGAGAACAAAAATGTTGGTTAGGTTAAGGCGGAGAGAAAAACAGAAAACAATTTCATCATTTGTATATGTCATTGTCTTTCTTTTGAAGTATGTTTTGTGAGTCATTTATGTTTGTGGTTTTATTGCTAATGGACTGGAAGGGGCTGCTGATTTACCTGACCACGGCTTTAAAGATGGATGGAAAGTGGACACAAAAGTCGGACACAACATAATAAATGTGAGTGTGCGAGGGAGGGGCTTCCTGCAAGGGGCACCCTTCTGCCGTTCACTGACCTTCCTGTTTTCCTTGTCTGTCGTTGGGTTGTTGGTAATTTTGAAATGGTTGAGGTCGATCACCTCCTTCATTTCGTAGTTGTCACCCCGCCTCTTGCAGATGATCACCGCGACGTCGAACAGAAAGATATGCCTGCGGAGACAGGAAGTGGGTAAGATATCTCCACCTCCCCCCTCCCCTGCCCCCACCGGGACTTGGCAGAGATTCCAGGTTTTCCTCTGTGTGTGCAATGGGGACAGGTGTGTTACTGGAGCACTGCACAGCAATGTCACCTGTCCTGCTTTGCGCGTTTGTCGACCGTGGCCACCCGCACCTCCCCGTCACCTTTGGGTCGTCCGAAATTCCTCAGGGATTGATTCTGTGCCAAGATAAATAAGTGACATTGCAACATGACGCTACACATATGTCAATTTGTTTTCTTGATTGTTTTCATATTTTTCCCTCCCTTTTGTTTTGCGTAATTACTTTTATAGCATACTTGTTTATTTCTGTTTATGTTTTGTAAGCTGGAGAAGAGGCTGTCTCGCCGGTAATTGATCACTAGCTCTAGGGCCTACAGGTAACTCAGATCGAGCAAGTCCAGCTGGCCCTGCCTAGACTAATTGCTTCCTTACGATTTAAGCAGGGTCACCTGGGAGGCCATACGGAAACACAAAATACTGCTACTTAATAGGACATCTTGTGTTTGGGTTTGCTGTGTTACAATTTTCAGTGCCTCCGATTTTGTTTTTCTGCCCTTAAAGAGACCTTGGCCCATTTGGAATAATATATATATATATATATATATTTTTTTTTTTTTTTTTTTTATTATTATTATATATATATATATATATATATATATATTTTTTTTTTTTTCCTCTCGGTAATCCCCATTGCCCAATCATTTTGTTCTCTTGCTTAACATGGGACCTGCCTTGAAAGCGGGAATTATCTTCTAATTACCTTCTCATAAAATACAAACCAAAATACGTTCCTGAAACAGAGAATTTTGTTTGTATGGAGGGACGAACGCGAATGTTGCCCAAAGGTACGGACTTGCAGCCGGCGAGAAATTGAAAATAAACATCCTATTAAAATCTGAAATTCTCATTACTGTGAAACTCAATAACGAAGAAATAATCCGTGAGGAGTATTTCAGCGGATTCTCCACTGGAACATCACAGTGGTTCTTTTGCATAAACGCACTCACTTACTTACGTCTGCATGAAGATACTTACCAGGTTCTCTATGGAGCTCTGATACTGGTCGATCTCTCTCAAGGTCTCATTGTCCCTTTTCACCTCGTTGACATACTGTGCTAGGTCCTGCCCCCCAGGAAATAAGAGTGTCACATTCTGTGTCTGTCCCATTTGGGAGCACGACCCAGTTATCCTGTTTTCAGTGCTTCTTTACTAGCCTCCATGCATTTCCTGAATGTATTTAACGTTGCACTTCTGGTCTTTACATAGTCTCGGTTCTTGCTTTGTTGAAGTTGTTCCGTACCTCCTGCTCCAATACTATCTACATTTGTACCTCGGCATTCATTGGAAGCTCAGCCCAGCTGCACTTAAGCCTAGTTGACTCCATGACAGTAAGTATCTTTTCAATGTGCTCTTTGCCTCAGCTGTACGTGGCTTTGGACAGAAGCAGCTGCTACATAGGTAAATGTTAATATTAACAGCGTGGCCTGTTTTTAAGTCTCCTGTAGACCAGCAGGTTACAATAAAATGTAGGGAAAAGTTTTGAAGAAAAACAATCAAAAATTATGGATGTGAAAGATTTCACGTTTACAGATCATACAGTGATACAGACATCACATTAAGTGTGCACCTTGGACACATTTAGACATGTCTGTGTGTGATCTAGATAGAGAGATCATTGGGTGACACATTTAGTGATGGAGATGACTCCTACAAGTGGCACTTATTCCCCTCAGCAAAGATGAGCCAATCAGCACTCAGAAGGGCATGATTATTATCCTCTTAGTGCTCTGGCTCTGAGCAGAAGCTAACTGCATTAGCCTGATACCCCCCAATCAAAGTTAAGTGGATAATCATGCCAAATTGAGTCATCATACTCATCTGCATAATTTGCTGTTTCCTCTCCAACTGATTTGCTTCAATTAAGAAAGTTTAAAGCTCTGCTTAGCGCCACTCAACAGCAAAATCACATGTTCTCCGTGATGTTTTTTAAAAGGCCTACAACTGAGACGATAGCAAGGCCTTCAGTGCCATCCAGTTATCTGGCTAATCGGTTGCTTATAGGGCCAGAGTACGGCATGGATACCCTGACAGATTCAGGGGTCTTTGAGTATGTAAAATTACATAAATAATTGGGCCGGGGGGGGCAGTATTTCTGGCTACGCCATTTATAATTGGTTACACCCAAATGTGGGAATGCTAAGGTAGAGTGACCAGACAATCCAGGGGGGGATTCTTTGAACTATGACAAGATTTGTAAACTACCATTTCGATTAAAAGAACCTGGATCTCACTTAAGCGCCGAGTTCTTGCTGTGTGCTGATTGGTCAGTCTCCTATAATCATGTATGTGTCACTAATGTTAACGTGTCTTTCAGTCAAGGAAGCAAACCAGTCAGAGCACAAGAAGAGCTGAACTATTTAGCCGAGCGCCGGAGCCCTTCGGTAGCTTGGGAAAGCTGAAGCAGCTCAGTGTCCTCGTTGATATGGATTATCTGGTCACCCTCGCTGTGGGGACAAATGGTACCACTACAGCAAGGAGAACGGGAATGCCTGCAGCAAACAAAATTGTTTTTCCACTCTTTTTTCATTTTTCCATTCCGGTGGGGACCTTGCTGACCTGATAAAAGCGCAGTCCTTCTGAGAGATAATGAAACGTAGCGAGCATCGCAGAGAGCGGCTATGACGCTTACCTTCATGGCGTCGAGGGCCGTCCGCAGATTGCTCTTGTTGGTCGCGTCAGGAGTGTGCTTCACCAGCTCCTGTTTGATCAGAGCAGCGGGGTGAGGCAGGCCCCGCGGTCGGCGGCGCTCCCCGTTCCATTAGCGGCAGCTAATTAGCAGCTAACGCGTCAGGCTAACGCGTCAGGCTAACGCGCCGACACTGTCTGTCATAACAAAGACAGGGAGGGGGCAGCCAGTGTGCGAATTCGCGCTGAGGCAAATCGGCAAGTGCGAAATCTGCTTTAATTACTGGGTGTGTATATATTTGTGCCCCCCCCCCCCCCCACCCCATCCACTTTCTCCCCTTTACCACATGGCATTTATAAAATCAAACTAAGCTAGTGGGACAAATTAACAAAGATGGATAATTACAGAGTTCAGCACGGGATCTAATGGCTGTAAAAGCACACAGCTGGAAATCGGCCCTGCATGTCAACTCGGTGAAATGGAGAATATCGAGGAAGCATTCCGGTTAACACTCATGCACAACCCGCTGCAGCAACGAGGAAGATGCCGCCGCATGTTCATCCCCACTCTCCTCCTCCTTGCAGCCTGATATGTAGCCAGGTAGTAACTTGAACCCATAACCCTATCAGCAGGAAGAGGAGAATGGGCATATTCTATGTTGAGGAAAAAGTCATAATCGGCAAAATGGACATGCACGATTTCATCCAACAGTGTCAATATATATATATATATATATATATATATATATATATACACATACACACACACATGTATATATGTATATTTCTACACCCACACACACAGACACACACACATGTATATATGTATATTTGTACACATACATATGTGTATTTCCACACACAAATAAAAGGTTTAAATTTGCTTATGCAACTAGACACACACATGTATACGCTGTTTATTTATATATACTGTATATATGTATGTATATATTGATTTACATATATATTGTTTAGCGGTGTGTGTGTGTGTGAAAGCCCCCAGAAGCATGTGGGACCTCCCGGTGTGGGGGGAGCTGAGCCGATTCCCCGCTGACACACTCGGGGGGGCACGGCGCTATCTGCACCCAGGCCCACCATGCATACGGGGGGGACAGGCCTCAGGTAGCAGCCGCTAATCCTGCACAAGCGAGTGAGCGAGGCCGGGCTCCCGGGAATCAGCTTACACTGATTGGGGGGTTGGGGGGGGGCTGAGAGTGGCGGGCACTTCTGGGTGCAGTTATCAGCCCTGACAGACTGAGCTCACCAGGTGCTGCCCCCCCCCACCCCCCCACAGAGGCTGAGATGTGGAGATGTTGCTCAAGGCTGCCTGTCGGCAGTGACACACATAACCACACACACACACACTTAAACACACAAACAGACACATTGGTCTGCAAGAAATGCACAGTGCGGACATACTGGGACAAGCAGTGACAAAAACACAAGAGCATTCAGCTCCTCCAGCTTCAGCAGACCCAGATGCCAGCGCAGGCTCAACCTCCCCCCTCCCCGCCAGGCCAGTGGTCCCACATGGACACGTGGGCCAGGAACATTTCCATGAACTTCAGTGGCGATGATCAAGCACTACGCCCAGTACCGCCACAAATTCCAGCCCGTGAATGATGTTACGTGTCACTGGAACGGGGAAACTTAGCGAAAACGCAGCCTGAGAAGTTGGTTACGTGACCTTGGCTACCAGGTAGCAACACAAGCGGTTCAGGTAACATTTTTATCTGCAAAGCCGCAGTGAATGTAAAAAAAGCATGGACTTTACTGCCCCCTAGTGGAAGTATTTATCATTGAACTATACATTTGTACCTCCCAGTTAGGAGGGTGGTAGACACATATACATGCTATTTAATCTGTAACTGTTACATCTGAAGCAGCACAATACTGTGGTCACATGTGTGTGGCTCAGTGGGCTAAGTCTCTGGTCATGTGACCAGTAGGTTGTCGGTTCAAGCCCAGCTTCAGCAGAATAGGCCCTTAACCCCCAGCTCCATGGGCGCCACTGCAGGTAGCTGCCTTTTACTGCCAAGCTTCCTCTCACCTACAAATGTCTCATTAAAGATGCAAGATGGGGCAGAGAAAAATAGAATTTCCCCATGAGGATCAAAAAAGTATCATTATTATTATCATCAGGTTTCTAATATTACAACCTGTATCTTCTCACTGTATTTGCAGGGGTTTGCTTACTCTACTCTGAAGACAGCTCCTGTACTTCCACAAGTAGGGCATTGTACTAGCTAATGCATAGGTCATGGGTTCAAATCCCAAGGAGCACAAATAAACTGAAGCCCATCTCTAAGTCACTTTGCATATACACATTAGATAACTGAAGTAAATATAAATTTGCCACTGGAAGTGTGTGTGTCTGTGTGTGTTCTGGTGCTTCCTGGAACAGCCTGAAGGACCCAGGCAGTGTTCTGCGAGCGCTAAGGCTCCAGTAAGTCAAGGGCTGCCCCCACAAAATTTCACCCCCCCTGAAAGCACAGCATTTTGAGCCCCTAACCCAGATCAATCTACTTATGTTCCAAATGTCTTTAGGGTCCCATCTGCACCCTCTTTACGGTGCCCCCCCCTGCCTGTCGCTCACCTGTAAAAGCAGATGGTATTTCAGCACTCGCTGCATGGGGACGACGAGGAGGTCTCGTAGTGTGAACTTTCCGTTGTTTGCCCTCTTTGAACATTCCTACAACAAATCCCGTTAGTCACTTAGAGCTGGGGGGTGAAAAGCCACCAGAAAATGACTGACTATCCGGAGGAGAGCTTTCGCTTTCTGAGGGCTGTATACAATTAAAAAAAAGTCACAAATACATTAAAAAATGCTAGTTATGCAGTTCATAAGCAGGTTGTATACCCACAGGGGAATTTAAAAATACCAAATACCAGGCCCCAAGCTAAGCACAGCATTCATCCTGAGCATATGTCCTTGAGTTTAAGAGTGCAAGCTAAGCTCATATTATACATCGTACATTAAACAAGCGGAGCCAAATTAGAGGTCCCTGAGCAGTAATGATAATAGCCAACACAAGAGGGCGATGTTGGTTCACTTTCGGCTGCACATCGCGCAGTCTTCGTGAATAAACACAGGACAAAACCTTGGCTTATCACGCAATGCATGCGACACATGATGATGTAATGATGTAAGACACATGACTTGAGATTCCTACCTCCAGCTTCAGTCGTACATCCTCCTTGTCTTTGCAGATACAATCCAGAATGGCGATGGCCGTCTCTACTTGACTGCAGTATACACCGTAAATGAGGAGTCTATAGAGCAAGATTGACAGAGTGAATTAACAATTAAAGTTAATTTCAAAGTTAAAAACACATTTTTAAATCCAAGAGATGCTGTATACTTCTCTTTGTAGTTGACGAAGATCTGGTGAAGGTTCTGGGCGTTCTTGCTGAGGATAGAGTCCTGGATGTCCACCATAAGGTTCTTGTGCACTTTGACCAAGTCCTTTGTGACAAAAAAAAATATATACATATATATATATACATTCCAGTGGCTTGAAGAGTTGCTATAGCTTTTTCAGAGATAAAGATTTCCTGGAATTTCACTCGCTCTTCAAAAAGTGTCACTGTAGGGCTTAAGGCAGGGCTCTCCAACTCTGGACCTCGATTCCAAATCCAGGCCTTGTTTTCAGTTCTACCAGGGAGTTAGTTTAATGATTACTGATTCTGATTGGTCAGAGGCTTCACACCTGGCTCACAGGTAAAGGAAGGCTGGAAAGTCAGCACTGCTCAGACCTTGAGGACTGTGATTTGAATGGCCCAGGTTTGAGCTTTTACTTACCGGAATGTTGATAAACACCTTGTCGATCTCCACTGCGGTAACAAACTTCTTGAGAGGGATCATGAAGTACTGCAGATAGGAGAAAGGTGTGAATCCCCGAAACATGTCAAAGACCACAGCGGTTCCTTACTGATCCCTGTAAGGAAACTGGGCAGTTTTCATTCACCACATCATGCTCTCCATCAGATGTAAGCACACAAACAGAGACAAAGCACAGAGCCAACCTGGCACCTCAGGGGTTAAGGCCTTGCCTAAAGGCCCAGCATTGCTGTGGGGAATCAAACCCAAGACCTTCTGGACATAGACAGACTTAGAAAGTTGTGTTTAAGTCTGAGGGGCCTTTATGAACACTGACATAATTTTATACAAAAAAGACATTCTTACTTTTTCGATGGACTCCAAAGTTTCAGTGTACTTTTCTTCCGTCTGCTTGATTTCAATCAGACAGCAGCTCCTGATGTCGGTCTCTGCTTGTTTCTGTAGGTTCCCAAATGAGAAATAAAACACAGTCCAGGTCGCTTGAGCACGAACAACAGCCACCACAGGATCAAGGGACGCGAGCGAAGCCTACGGAACACCTTCACCTTCCGGCTCCCTGTTTGTTTTTTGATGTTTAGTAGAATCAAATTAAGTGAGCAGGTTCCCACCTGGAAAGTATGACTTTGAAAAGTGAGACCGCTACCGTCTACGTACAGTGGGGGGCGCCACCTCCGCTTTCATCAGGTCCTCATAGACCTCGCCTGCTTCGTCCTCGCTGTACACGCAGTCGTACAGCTCCTCCTCGTCCTCCACGCCGTTCTCACTGGCACACAAGAGCGGCATCGCTGTCAACAATCTGTCTTGTCGTTCATCAGTCACTGCCGTATCGTATTCACAGCAGGCCAGGTGACCAAGGTGACCAATTTATGTTTATCTTATTTAGTAGAACCCTTTTTGAAAGTGATGTGCATCACAGAAAGTTGGGCCAACCAGTCCCGGAAGCAATTGGGCTTAAGGTTCTTACTCAAGGGCTAAATAGTGAAATCACTCTGCTGACCATGGGATTTGAACCAATGATCTTCTGATCAGAGATTTAAGCCACACATTTTAATCACAAGTAATGAAAGATCATTGACTTTTATTAAAGCGTGCTGATGTGTTATTTAACTGGAGTGAAATACGTTTCCCTGCTCATGTGTTACGAGTTGTTTAGAGTTCTAACAAGAATGACTGTGGTAATGACTTCCGACAATTGATTTTAAAATAAAATAAAGACGTGATTAAAATACCCCTCAGCTATTCAGCTGTCAACTCGTGCCGCAAAGCCAACTGCTATTTTCCATGTTCGTTTTTGCACGTTGCGCTGCGATGATCGTCCCGCTAGCCTGAAGGCGTCTGAGGGCTGGGGGAAGCTGTGAACTTGTGTGTGAATGTCGCTGTACATTTGTGTGTGAGTGTTTGTGTTATATATATATTACATTGGCGGGTCCAAATGTCCCCGCAATGTGATAAAAACCTGATATTTTGATGTTGTGGCGACCATTTTTTTGGTTCCCACAAAGGGAAACTCAGTTTTATAAAAATCTGCAATTGCAATCAAGAACCTTAAAAGTTAAGGTTAAGGTTAGGGCTGGGTAGGGATTAAGGTTGTCATTGTTAGGATTAGGGTTCTGTTCATAGAAATGAATGGACGGTCACTACAAAGGTATTAGTACAGGTCTCTGTGTATGTGCGTGCATATTTGTGTGTGCATCAGTGCGTGCCTGTGTATGTGCGTGCATGCATGTGTGCGTGTGTCGGCAGAACAGTCACATGACCATTGGCCCCTGAACAAGGCCTCTAACCCCCAGCTGCCGGGGTGCCATATGTTGCCTGACCCTGTGCTGTGACCCGCCCCCCCCCATGGAGTGCAAGATGGGGCAGGTGAAGATGCCTCTACCTTTAGGTACCTCTACTCCCGCGTTTCTGCAAACGGCAAATAAAGGCTTTATCACTTTAATCACATCGAGCAGCAGAAGCCCCCTACCCTGCCTGAGCTGGGAGACTCTGCCTCCTGATGACCACATGCCCACGACCACACGCCCTGTATGAGTAACGCACACCTGCGCTGTTCGGACACAGCTGCTAAGGCCTAATCTGCTTCCTACTCACGGCTCTTTTGGTGAGGGTCTGAATGAAAGCCTCGGAGAGGTGCGCTCCTCACTCAGCCAGCGTGACACACCACGGGTGCGACTGTTTCCCAGTAAGACCACTCTCGCTAGGGACTGGACACTCTGACTTCCTTTTAGGTTTCCTGAACCACGTCAGTCCCTGGACGGCTGATAAACAGGCCGAAAATCACTCCACGTTGCTTACTGACTGTTCGTACACCTAGAAGGAGACGGCAGTGTACATACTCCATCATATCGCCCAGGTGACTGTATTCATCTTCGTCTTCTAAACCCTCCTCTGTTGGGAAAGGTCTGTTGGGGGAAAAAAATCCAATGACAGTTAAACTTTTACATTTATTTTATTAGACACTTGTATCCAAAATCACAAGCAATTCGGTAACCAGGGTTAGACAGTCCCTGGAGCAACTGGAAGTTAAGGGCCTCGTTGAACGAGCCAATGGAGCCACTTTGCTGACCATAGGATTTGAACCAGTGACCTTCTTATCAATGGCATGGGGTCCTAACCCACAGAGCTAGGCAACACGCCACGTTTTAATACAAATTAGCTAAAAACCAGTGTTACCAGTTATACTGTCATCCATCATCTTGACTATAATGTTCCTGAATATGCTGTTTTGCAAATAATCCCTGAGCCCCCCTCCCCCCACACCCCACCCCAAAGCATACCTGATTCCAGTCTGCTGTGCAACTGCTGAGTGCGACAGTTTTGACAGTGTGTCCATTACCTGAAAAGATACAATAAAAATGAGTGTGCACCTGTTAGTATGGGGGGGTGGGGGAGCGGGGTGCCCCCTCCCTCATCTGTTACTACAACACTCATTATGACCACCACGCTTCATAAGTGACTCTCAGTGGTATGGATTTCCCTCAGTACTTTCCGGAAACCATACCAGTCTTTAACCAGAGGACAGAGTCGAAGGGCACGGCCTCACATCAGTCACGTTTGAGGACAATTTGAGTCGTTGATGATGTAACCGCTGTCTTCTGACATTGATTCGCTTTAAACAAAACCCAGGTTTTGTTTAAAGCGAAGGTACCTACTACAGGTAAGCGAAGGTACCTACTACAGCTCGGCACGTCAGAGCCAACGCACAGGCAGCAGTAACTGTGCGTGATGCCAGCTGAGATTTCAGTGTCGCCGTTCTCGTGCCTTTCGTGAGGCGTCCTGCTGCCCGCTCGGGGAGGAAGTGGTCCTGAGCCAGTACCGTGTGACAGGAAGTTCTCGCATGCACCGCAGCGACACGTGTTCCAGCTGCATCTCCCACATCCAGGCACCTGCAGCTGCATTTCAGATGCTCGCCGCGGACCACTGGGGAGTTACGCTCAGTCTCGCATCTAAAGCGGCCCTTCAGGGAAGGCGCTCACCTGCGCCGGTATGACCAGGGAAATCCCGTCGCAGCCCAGGCTGCACTTAGACGTGGACACATGACTGCACTTAAATGATCTCCGTAATATTCAGGACATTCAATTTGTGTTCTCTGCACGTTTTTCACATTCGTCTTCACTGCGTCTTTGTATTTCGCTCTATATGTTCGCTTGTTGGCACTTGCTGCCATAAGCGACAGAATTTCCCTCTGGGTTCGATAAAGTTCATTTTCTCACATCTTACATATGGGACTACAGTGCAAAATATATGCATCTTGTCTTAGAAGTGTCTACTTTTGTGGAAGACAGCATTTAACTAGAGTATTTAGCATCGACCCATTACCAGCTGTATGGACTTTATGTAAGGGCCTGTCAGCAGGCTTTACCAGCCATGTTATCCGTGTCTTTTAATGTAATATCACTATTTCACACTGACCTGTGAAATCTGGATGAAAGATTATTTTCGCAGCAGAACATGATGGGTAAACAGAAAAGGGGCCAACAGACAAGGCTGGGGTGACAGAAGAGAAGGTGCCCATTTGCTTCCGGAAAAGTACCCGGAAGACGAGATGAAGAATCTGAGGTCCGAGCGGCCGAGTCAAAAAAAAACCTGAAGTGAGATTATTAATCATTTCTGCCTTCATGAGTTCACTGACATTTACGAAGAGTAACCACTGAGGTCAAATCTCTATATCGCTAGATCTATATTATATAAGACCACACAACTAAATACAGGAAGTTTTAACCATGTTTATCGTACCCAGTCTAATTTTTAAAAATGTGTTTCACAACATTCCTACTTTCCCAATAGAAACTTTCTTATTTATGCATCTTTTTGAAATACTGCTCTTTTATATATGCTACAGCAGGTTTATATGGTTTAATGGCATTAAACACACAGTCGCTGTGAATTGCAGCCAGTAGGGGGAGCAGTGGCTAATGAATCAACCTCATGGCCCCGAAAGGGGGACCATTGAAATGGCAATATGGCACGGTGTGACATTGTTTCAGAGGCACTAGGGCAAACTAAACTTCAGCACCCGCTAAACAGACATCTTTAAGCCCCTGTTTCTCAGTGGTTTGAAAGTGTGGCATCAAGCCAAGGTTGGTTTTACCTGTTTGTACTGCAATGCGCAAGAGATTTCTCCTGAAGCATCTTAGCTGTGACATAATAGCCCCGGCTCAAGGGTTCAACAGCCGACCAGGATCACGCCACAAACTGATGGCCCTTTGAACAACGATCCCTGCCCAAATGCCACTGGCCATGGTGATATTTCGCCAGCTGTATTCAACCTAAAATCGACACCCACAGCTTTATGGCTCCAGCTTAACCCTCCTTACATATTTTCAAGCATTACAGGCCCATAACCACACATATGCGAGCCGCTTTGGTGAGACCTTGATCCAACTGCTGTCCCGACAGATCACTGCCTTTAAAATGACTGAATCAAGCGAATAATTAAACCAAACCCCTTTTCTTTAACTGACGAGAACTATGAGGAACTAAATCAGGAACAGAATGTTCCGCCTGGATCCCTTCTCGCCTCTCTCTGCAGGGCCTGCCGGTCGGGACACCGTGGATGCCTTGCAGGCGAGCGTATCTTCGCGTGCGCTGCAGCTTCCTGTGCAGCAGTTTTCACTTCTCAGTCCTACAGGTGGGCTTGTTACTTAATATATCTACTTCTATGGCTTCCGCTCTGAAGATGCTTAGATATCATCTAAAGAGTCTTTCCGGTAACAAAGTAAGTAAATGGGTTGTATCACAACGTAAGCTGACAAGAAGTGCCGCAGCTATTATTTTCAATTATTTATTTCTGATTCTCTTTTTAATTGCAGGATCACACTAGGATAGTTCATTTTGGGAATCACGGTCCTGACTTCCATACCATGTCCATCTTTTACGTAACGGTCGTACGCTGATACCTGGCGCCATTCATCCATTCATGGGAAGCTTCATGAAACAGAAAAAAAATTCAAGACTTTTTCTTTTTATAAGCTGAATGTGTCACCAGCTAGAGCTGAAAACCACACAACCACCACAATATATTTTGTTTTATACAGGACAAATGGAAAGAGCAGGCGAATGATATTAAAACAGAGTGACGGGAATCACATGGGGGGGGGGGGGAGAGGTGGCGGGGGAGGTGCGTTATGAAATACTTCCCGTACACTCAATTGGAAAATGACTTGTTCCTCTGAAAACGTATTTGTCCAGAGAAAGGGAAGCGTGTGAAATGTTTGGAGACGGCTTGGCCTGTGTGTCTGGGGACCAGGGGTGTGTTCAGGGCCGGAGCTACAGGGGCACTGGCCCCAGCTGAAAGCTGATTGGCCCACAGTTCCCCCTCCCCTGTGACTCCTGATTCGAAAAATATCATTGGCTAATGAAACAGTTGGCTCCTCTGGATAAATTATGGCCCCTCTTATACCTCCCCATCTTAAAAAAATCCTAAAATCACCCATGCATGCATCTTCTCAGGAAGTGCAGGCATGCGACAGTACAAGAGCTTTACCCTAAGCTTTTAAAAGTGGCACGGAAACAGCGCCCCCTGTATGTCAGATCCAGATGTCACGTGCATGCCTTATCCTCATTTTCCTTCAGCCCTTGGCCTGGACACCAGTCCATTGCAGGGCGATTTAGAGACAGTTCAGGGCTGTGGGAGCAAATCTGACTTTGGTGCCGTGAGATAACAGTTCCGTGCTACACAAAGACGCACACATGATGTACCTCTATGCGAGGTGCGACGGCGATGGAGGGTCATCTGCGGGGAATCCAAAATCGCATGTCCAATCGGACGGACGGACACGGAGGCTGCAAAGCGAGGGGGATGCGGTGGCGGTGCACACTAAGGTCCAATCACAGCCCTGGAACCGGGCTCTTGTGTTTAGCGTGGGCAGTTCAGATCAAATCTACAGACCTGGTGGGCGGTCGCCTGGCTATGATCTCCGCCTAGCAAAAACACCCCCCCCACCCATTTCAGGCTAAGGCGTTGAGGTTTAGCATCAAAGGGGGGTGAATATCAGGCCCCTTTTTCTCAGGCCGCTGCACTCGGCCTAGTTACACGCGACACTTCAGAGAGCGAGCAGACGCATGTGACGGGACAGATCACGCTCAGGGACTCCGTATGAACAGCCCTGAAACTTGAACCAGAGACCTACTGGTCAAAAAGGCCACATCCGTTTCTGCTGAAACACCAAATGCTTCAGGTGCAGAGAAATTCATGTTCATGGTATCGCAGGGCATTGTATGGTTGGGTACTTATCCGTGCAAAACACACTGACTTTTACTTATTTAGCTTTGATCAAAGCGACACAGAAGCGAGAAAAGTTTGTGGTCAGAAAGCAGGACCAGCCAGCATCCCTGGAGAAGATGTGGTTGTGGGCCTCCCTCAAGGGACCAATAGTGATATAATCACTCTGCTGACCATGGAGTTCAGACGTTGGCACAGAGCCATTAACCTACTGAGCCATACAAATGAATCTAAAGGTGTTTATTGACTTAAAAGGTCCCAACACAACGACGCACAAAGTTCAACACCTCCTGGAGCTTCACCACCTTTCTCAGCATGCACCGTGGGCTTCACAGATGCCATGTGATTGGCTGCCCCACCATACCACATCGGCAATTCCACATGGCGGCTGCGGCTGAGGAGGACTGGGAAGGATAGCGATGCTTTTCCACCGCTGCCCACAGCAGCCAAACCATCCTTTGCTATTGCCGGTTCTTACGATGTGACAGGGGGAGTTTAAGAGGGGAATCTGTCAGATCTCATTTTCACTTTGTCTCACCCAGCGACACCCACTCCTCCCGACATAGCATTTCTCGTTTTCCGATTTATCTGAACTGTACAGTTGATCGGCAAAAAAAAGAAGAGAATTTCCAGCTTTCTGATTTAAGGTTAACATGCATGCTTGCAAAAGAGTTATGTCGGATCTAGAATATCTGAACCTGGCCAGCGTGAACCTAATTTTGTCCAGTTTCTCTCTGAAATATTCCTACAGAATCCTACAGAAATGCAGATGAATGTAACAAGAGAAGCAAAGAGGGACAAATATAGACTATGGTTCTTTTGCAGAGATTACAGGGGAACATCTGAAAATTATACAAAAAAAACAACATTTAAAGGGGGTGAGAATGTAAGATTGAGGTGAAGAAACAGGTGCATTAAATGACTTGGCTTCTTAGGTGATTTAATACCCATCTGCCTTTATAGTAACAACACATATATTAAAGTAAAATACAGCTGCAAATTTCATAAAAATCTCTCGGCCTGCTTCTTTAAGAAAAGGAGAAACACTATTTGCTTTTTTGTTAAATGGCAGAAAATATTTTTCACGTTATTCCATGAAAATTATTTTTGCCAAGTCAGGCATGTCGTCTATCTGCAGTGAGCAGAACATGCGGTATAGACCAGCAGAATCCCACCAGCGAGGTGGAGAGCGAGCATCTGGAACCGTCACCGGCGGCCTCGCGGTCCTTGCCGGCATCCCGCCATTTGTCAGCCTCAGCGTGATCTGTGAATCCTGCCGCGAAGAATCATCACAAGTCACTTCAACGCTGAGGGCAGCAGCGTTTTAAGGTGCCCACCACAGTACTAACATCTTTATTAATTCTTATGAATTTTTATGAAGACTATTTATGGACATGAATAAAGGAAGAGGAAACAGCCTTTACAAACAACCACAAATACACGAGCCAGCTACAGCTTTAAAGATGAGCGATATGTCAACGAATCGCGAAGACAACAAATGTAATACGTGAAAACCATGTTCCCCCTAATTGGTATTTGTGGGACCTTCCCGTGTTAAATCACCCACTGTATGGATGTAACACTCTTATCAGCTTTATAAGCTTATTTACAAACACCCTAAAGCTTGTGCCCTACATCTGTGGACTGTACTACGAAGCAGGGTTACTGGCTTATCGGGGTAACTTTGCGAGTAACTTGATGACGTGTGGTGTAACTTCGCGATTAACCCGTACTACGATAGGTGGGTAGGTTTTACTCGAGGCATGCTGCTATGGCAATTTTCGCTAAGTCTCAAACCTGTTTCGAGCAGTTTTTGTTCTCGGTTAAGTCGAGGTTTCTGCGTAAGCCAGCCCTATATGAGCACCGCCCCTCCAACTACAATTTCTCCGAAGACAATGCCAGCGCACCTGGATGATCCGTACGATATTGGCGCGCGAATCGTGAGGGGCTCTCTCTGTCAATATGTATGAAATGGAGCAATGGCATATAATATGCATACAATGTATTAATAACTGTTACAGAGGAAGTTATTCTGAAAACCCAAGGGGTGTGCATTGTTCCCTGTTGTCCACTGATCAAAGCACACTTCACTAGATGTGACTGTCTTGTCTAGTTTTAAAGTTATTAACCCATTCATGTATTGTCCCAATGCACATTTAACGGACACATTCGAACATTCAAAAATTTATTAAAATTCGTACATAAAGCAATCTGGGAAACAAAGGGGTGTGCAACAGTCGCCATGAGCCCAAAACGCTAAACCACCATGTCATTACAGCTGAAACGACCCATTATATTAGCTATTAACACGATTTGGCACAAATCACGAAATGGTTTGAAGCGCAAAATTAATCGGTGTGCATCGATTATCTGTGTACTGGACATCACAATTCTGTCATTAAAAACGCCACACTTTACTTCCGTTAAAAGTTATTAAAGAAAACTGAATATGGAATATGAGGCTAACTTAACTGCGGTGACAGGTTCCTATTCGTTTTCTCACTACACATATGCTTCTGATTTGTCCTATTGTAAATCATTTGTTTGTTAAACAATGGCTCATTTTCATTTAAGAGTAATATGAACAGACACCATTTTCTTATTAGCTGTAAAACATAAACACACTATTATATGGAGGCTAGACACAACAAATCTTTCATAATGAGGAGAAATATAAATAAAGTCCCTACCACTTGACATGATGTTTTTATATTTCATCTTGACTTGCTGCCACGTACGCTTTCCACTACTATTGTATTTGAAATCAGGTCGGTTAATTTACTGTTAATTAGTTAATTGTTATTAGGTTTACATTATGAGTAACATCACAGTAATGGATCTTTAGGGAGCATTACATTACTTATCAGCAAATAATAGGCTTACTTCTGAATTGTGTCGCATCTGTGAGCCTCTGTATTTATTAACAGTATTTCAATTCTCTTCAGAAAACACTTCATTGTCTAATACTCGGTCGTGAGATATTTTAGACCACGTCTTATGACCATGAAAATGTACGTGTGCATTTTCTCCCTCTGCAACACGTTGCCAACAAGCCTGCCTGCTTTTGTTGGCTGCAGTGGTATTGGACTTTCCTTGCAGCGTTGATTTAAACTCCTCATAACCCTGCATAATTAGCATGCAGTCTTCCTCCGTGAAACATGGAGATCGCGCCATGAGTCAAACGGTGCCTTGCGCTGCCGAACGTGCTCCGTTTATGTGAACGCGCACAAACTCCAATGCAGTTAACACCAATGTAACAAATCAACTTCTTAACTGGCGTCGTAGTACTGATTAGCACCGATTGAGACAACCTCAATCGGTGCTAATCGGCCGCCCCCTGATTTCTTGGCACCAGATAACCTGTGGACTATAGCTACAGCAAGTGAGAAGTCACATTTCGCATGGGGGGGCAGTCTGAACTTCTACAGTACCTGCAATTAATACTTAATTGTGCCAAATGTTGATTAAAGCTCGTCTGATGACGAGGTGTGAAGCCAGTAAATGAACATTTCCAAATGGGAGATAGCAGACTAACCTTAAAACTTAAACTTAGGGATTGCAATTTTCTTGGCCGATCCCGTTTACGGATTTTTTGGTATGTGCGATCGGCCGATACCGATTTTTGCCCTGAGAACAGCAAATACATACAAAAATCACATTTTCTTCACCTTAAAACTTTATTTTCATAACAATCTCTTATTAAACTTTACAAATTCAAATAAATTAAACTAAAACAAACAATGGCTTCCAATACGCTCTGCTAGCAGCTCTCGCTTTGCTAGCTTCTTCAAACTGAGCGTGCTCACTGGGGTGACGTGTTTTTAAATGTCAAATTAAATTTGTTGTGTTAAATGTCTTTATATTGGTTCCCCCACGGTGTACCTGGTCCTTACACTTCAGATAGCGAATTTTACGTCCGCTTGGCTCACGCTGATTTATTGCACATGCGCAAGATCGGTTCGTAATCGGAAAAATGTAAGACTGATCGGCCGATCACCGATCAGGCTGAAAATCGGCCCATTCCGATCGTTGGCCAATCGATCGGTGCATCCCTACTTAAACTTAAAATTTTCCTGTTAAAAGAGATATGAAAACAAAATTATTCTAGCTAATACAGCAGATAGACCTGCTCCTGTTAAGTCAGGGGTGACCACTCTTATCCGCAAAGGGCCGCTGTGTGTGGTGGGTTTTCACTGCAACTCCCTAATTATATTACTAATTAGAGGACTGATTGGCTGATGAGTTCTCACACCTGGGTTTGAACAGCTGACCTACAGGTTATCACAAAAACCTGCATACACACCGGCCCTTTGCGGATAAGATTGGCCACCCCTGTGTTAAGTGAACCCTGCATGAACTGATCATTCAGAAAATGTTATGAAAAATACCCAAACATCGAGAGAAAAAAAACGATGCAGTTGAAAGAGACTGGTGGGAATGTCAGGTGGCGTGACGGACAGATGACGTACCTTTCCGAAATCCCGCACATCGAACAGGTCAAAGGCTTCGAAGAGCTCGCTCTTCTTCATGGAGAATATTTCACAGCAGGTACACAAGAATGTTCTGATGTTCTTCAAACAGAGGAACTGAAAAACACAGAGAGAAACTTCAGAAGATATGAACACTTGAAACACATTTCATATGGATGTAATACACACAGAATACATGCCAGCTATATACACAGAGCACATTATATTGTCACTTAATTAGGATTTTTTCAATAGTACTTTGTATTCAAACAAACCATTTTACTTTGTCATATCAAATACATCAATTGTTTTCAATCTTGAAATGCTACTGATCGAGAATATGTAGTGTTAATATATAAGTAGTAGGTAGCCACTGGCAAAGCATATGAATTAAATATATTATTACTATGTTATTATTATGACTGTTTTACTCATATTCATGCACATAATTTCATATATTTACTGAATATTGTTCACATTTCAGACCACAACCTATCACTAAAATAAATATTCAAATGTAAACCACAGCGATGTGGGATCCTTAGGTGATTACACTTGTTCCGACACTGAGAGAGCCTTGACATTAACGCCTTGAAACTCCGTAAGACGTCAACGCAGCCTACAGACAGCCGCGGACAGAACTTAACCTCACCGGAACGGCTGATCAGTGCAGGTAAGAACAATGAAAGTTCAGCACAGCAAGACTTTGCTAACTTAGTGGATGAGTGCAATGCCTTAAATCAGAAGAGGCTTTCATTTCCTATTTACTAGTTCTTAATGATTCAAATTGGCCGATAGATGTTTAAGACGGTTTCAAACATTGGCTTGCAAATCAACAGCATTCAGATACCCGAACAAACATGTAAGAAGCCATTTTGACACTCCTGACCAGATGGGATATCTAAATGGCCAGAGCACTTTAATGTTCTCACAACAAGTGAAATGGAAGAAATAAATCAATGTTGACAACCATCCACCCCTCTTGCATGGCCACTTGTCCCCTACAGCATCAAGGTCAGCCTCAAGCCTGTCCTAAGGTGCTTATAAACCATGATTCACCAGGACACAATATGGCAGTAACAAAAGTGAAAAAGGTTGGAGACCCATTTTCTACAGCAACAGAATCACGGCAAGAAATAACAATACTTAGAATTGTTCAATACTAAGCAATAACAATTATTAGGCATGGTAGACAAATTCCACAGATTCTCTCTGTCATTTATCCTGTAATGGTCAGCAGGGCCTCAACCTGACATTACTGTTCACAAGCACCTATCAGTGGCCAACCATAACAAGCACTTATCAGTAGCCAACCATCTTGCCCGTTCTCGAGAATCTGTTCTCTGTCCGTGCCTTGAGTCGCACTTTAAATGAAAACTTTAAATCACCTTAAGCCAGCATACCCTGCCGATTCGAGTCAAGAGTGCTGCTTTACAAACAGGACACAGCTGCGAATTGACTGCTGACCCCAATAATGAGGACACTCTCTAGGGTCCAATGTACGGCTGGGTGATACCGCTGAAAGACGATACCTCGATGTTGTAGGTCACTGTATAGATATATACAACGATTTTTATGAAAATTTCCCTAAAATACTTTTGAAAAGTCACAACAGAAGGTCAGAATAAAATATGATTTTATTTATTCACATCAATGTTTCCCAACTGGAACACATCTCTGAAAAGTGCATCTCTCTTGAACATCATAAGATGTTAAAAAAAAAAAACTTCTTAGAAAAAATACAAATTGACTAAATATCCAAATCCCTATTTAACAAATTAGATTGTTCAGGTAAAAAAAAAAGACAATATATAACATTTTTAGTGCTATTGTGTTCCTCTGCTGAACTGTTTCACAAGAACGAAAAGAAAGAACAAACAAAAAAAAAACCAGAATTACAAATTGACTAAATACAAATGGAGCCCCGGAAGAGAAAAAAAATCAATGGTTGAAAAAACTGAAATGTAAAAAAAAAAAAAAAAAGTATTTCAAGTATTTAAAAACCAGGTTGTTTGAAAGTGAAATGTATGTAAAATGAGCTGAAATCACAGCAACATAGCTCTGCAAACAGATATGTGTACCACAAACAAAAACATGTATATATTGCAAACAAAAATGATGTGTTGAGAGATTTTTTCTTTGCCAAATGTTTTGAATCATGTAGTTCTTTTTTCTTTGCATTTTCCCTTTTTTGGCATTCATTTTTCTTTATAGTACGTGTGTTGCGCTTTGCAATATTACTATCCCTTTGCGCTGTATTTGTCTTTCACTGGCCTCCTTCTGACATGGTGAAGGTGGGTATGGCTTTGCTGACTGTCAATACCTGATCCCAATGCATAGCACCTGCCTGATTTGTACCTTGCCCGTCTGTTCATGCGCCACATTTTTAAGCATGCATATGTCACATTACTTTTTCTGGCACTGCCTGATCTGTTCGTCCTGCCAATTTACGGCAAAGTATATTGTCCAAATTTACAATAAATAAAGAAAATCAATATAACCATACATTATCAAGCCGATTTGTATATAAAAAAATGTATCCAATGGCATCCATTTGATGCTTTTTCCATCCCTTGAATGTAAAAGTCTCAAAACATGTCAACCATCTAATAAGGCATGTATTTCAGATGCTTCCAGGTAGAGGATTACACAAGAAGAAAGAGCACTGCAAACACCCCAAAAAGTGATACATATTTCATATTTTCAATGGCATCTGTCCCCTATTTACAAAGAGGAGTCAGGAACTTAGACCACAGAAATGGTTTGGTGTTTAAATTATTCAGCACGTCCACAGCACCTTGTTTTGCTGCAAGTATACAAATGATATCCCTGGATTTTGAAACACAGAACCAGACACTCAGCAAATGCTGCAGCTTCAAAAAATCTAAAAAAAATCCAGCACTCAACTTATCCTGAGCAGGGTAATGGGGGGGGGGTGCAGTTTCCCAGGCAGCATAGGGTACAAGGCCACAGTGCATCCTCCATGGGACCAAAACTTTGCTCACTCCACATTTTAAACTACACCCAGAATATATTAACATGCAGTAAAATATCTTAATTAATGTTAATACTGAGGGCGCTGTTGTGCATTGCTGCTACCCTCAAGAGTATTCTCTCTTTTTGCTAGCGTGTAAGATGCTCAGGAGAAAAAAACAATGTGTGGAAAAAAACAATGAATATCTTGATGCAATACCTCCATTAATTAGGGATGATGACAAGACACTACCCAGAATGCCCCACTGCATTATGCACACATTCCGGCATGTTCTGGATGACAAATCACAACAAGGCAAGTGCAATATAATGAAAAAAAAATCAGAAAGTAACATTTTTATTTAAATAAGTACTTTATTTGACTGTTTCTGAAAAATCAGATTTTGGTAAATTGGCATGCAACTGGGGTAGTATGATGCAGTGGTTAGCATTACTACGGCACACCTCTGGGACCAGGGTTCGAGTCTCTACTATGGCTCGGGACCCCCCGCATCAGTACAAGCAGTTCTGGAAAATGGATGGATGGACTTATGCAACTCTCCATATACCTTGACGATACAATTTATTATGTATTGCGAACACACAGGATAAGCTTCAACTTCACTTTGCTGCAAATGAAAATTAATTGCGGGAATCAATTTGTGCAACTGAGGTAACATCTTATAGCGAATTTCCTCCACAAGTCCATGGCTCTTTAGTAATTTGTGTGGTTCATTTAACAAATACAACAAAGACGAGGAAAAGGTTATTAAACTTCCTTAATATACACCTGTGGTTTTCAGGGTCGGTGTCATAGGAGGGGGGGAGGTAGTCATGCCCCCCAAATGAGCTACAGTGCCCCCTCACTGCCGCCTACTAAGGACACTGTCTTTTATTTTTTTTCAAATGAATTTTTTTATAAAGACATTCATCCTAAAACAAATAAGCCGATCTACTGATCTCCCCCAGGGGTGTCACTGCAGACTATCTGCTTACTCGGTGCTTTGTCACCTCCCCACCTCAACAATTTTGACCCTCAACTAATGCTGGGCGGTATATTGAATTTTTACGGCATAGCGATACATTTTCAAAATGACATATAGGATGACACAGTACCCTAGTTTATATCAATATACTACACTGTGGCTTAATATTAGGGCTTTATTAAAGATTAGAGAAACCAACAGTTGCAAACAACACAAAAGCTTCAGTGGTGACGTTGCACAGATTTGCAAATGTGTGTAATGGATAGCATTTTCAAAATGACATATAGCTGTACATCTGCAAACAGCAAAGGAAACTACTTCATTTTCATTTTGACCACTTTTTCAGTAATAGTGTTTGTGACATCTCACATGCGGCCATATTTATATGTGTGTATGTACCAGCATATATATATATGTGTGTGTGTGTGTGTCCATATACTGTATGTATATATATAAGCATATACTAATATATATAAGCAGTGGAACGCTGATTGAACAACGATAAATGAAAATATACTGTTTATATATAGTGAATGTGACGAACGTTCATTGATGAACTTGTTTAACCTGTAGAGTCACAACTGGAGCTCGCGATAAGTGGAAAATAAAAGTATCAGAATTCAATGCTATATATGCTCATTCAAATCAAAATACGAGATTGTTTGTTTTATCTCAAGAAATACATTCTATCCAGATTAAAGAGAACAGCTAAATTATGTGCAGTGTCATTCGTGTAAATAGTAATCTGTGTCAGGGCCAGCATAATTTGTAAACATCTCATGAAATAAATCGTCTTATTTATATATAAAAAAAAATATTTCCCAAGCTATTTCCCTCCACAGTTTCACTAAAACTGTTTGAGGTGAATGAACCAAATGCTTTTTTTCACGCACATAAATCGCTCTCCGATTAGCATGAAATCTTAAAGTGAGTCGTTGTATCATTTTACTAGAACTATTAAATCATGAATCATAATTTCACTGAGGGTGAAATTGTTCATGTTGTTAACCATGATTTCACGAATGCCTACAAATTAAGCACTTTTGAAAAGATTTGAAAATTAGGGGGCTTTCAGCCCCCTGAATACATACAAGCTAAATGTCATATTTTGCAGTGGGTTATTAGATAAATATTAATGATTTTTTTTTTCTAATATGC